GTATAGGCCTTTCTGATTGCAAAAAAGGAAATCTGAACTTTTATCTAACCTACATCTGCTGTATTTGTTTATGTAAAGACTTACAGGAGACAAGTTGCTGCTAATTTCAGAATAAATGTGCAGAATGGCTTAATCCTAAATGTTTGGACAAAATCTGAGGAAATAATACTGCCATTGCATGAACAAGTGTAGGATGAAAAACCTAATTGTCATTTTAATGCAGGGCAGGTGCTTTAAAATCCATTTGCTTATCTCGTCCTTCACATTCCAATGCCTACAATAAACAGCTTCTCTGAGACAATGTTTTCATTGAATATTACACCTGTAATTAAGTTTTCCTTTTCTGATTTCTTTTTTAGTTTTTAAGAGGGCTGTAATACTGGTGTATAAGGAGAACTACAAACTGAAAAAGAAAATGGTAAGTCAGGTATCAGTGGCGGTGGTAGGTGTTTAAGCACGGGATCCTACTGCAGTGTGCGATGCACAATACCAGCATTGAAGGGGGACTGACTGTGATGACACCACCTTCCCTTACTAGGCTGGAATTTTACCTATCACAGCCAGAACAAGTGCGTCAGTATCTGTGTACCCATACTTTTTTTTTTTGTTACTTAGTGAGGAGCAACATCTTCTCTGCATGAGCCCCATTTTAGTTTTGTCAGGTGGAATATGAAACATTGCCATGTAGGAATCATTAATTCTTTCAGATGGCATTTATAATGCCCTCCTTAACATAGTGCATAGGATAAAAACCTCTGTTTATAGACACTTGATCACCCTGGAAGGGAAGGAAAAGGGGCATTATAAACATAACCTCCTCTGTCCCCCATTTAAAAAACTGGAATGCTGAAGCCAAGTAGCAGGTTGCATATTCTGAGTACCAGTGGTGAAGTACTGCACCAAGATTACCATAACAGGCGGAGTGGCTCTAAAAGTAGCAGCAGCAGCTACATGATTAATGTATTCGGCTAATCAACAGTCTGCAGGTTCCTTCATGGAAGGCTTGTTCACTAGTAGTACTTATATGCAAAGTATTATTTTTATCCATTAAAACCAAGTGCTTTTAGAAGTTGAAGCAATTACAAATTCCAAATGTTGTGTCTGTCACCATTTCAGCTACATTTGCAAGCACATATTAAGGTAGCAAAGTCTAATGAATTTAGTTTCTCTTCAGAGGCAGGTCTTCAAGAGTAATTAAAAAAAAAGCACCCAGTTTTTTTGCTTCTTGGAAATATCCTTGATTGTTTTTCTTTTTGCAGCCTACTAATGTTCGTGCTGTACATAATTATGGTGACTTGGATCCATTTAAATTTCGTTGGTTGATTCCTTTATCTGCTCTTCAAGTTCGACTGGGGAACACAGCAGGTAATCCCCTTGGTCTGAATACTTTAGGATTGAATGCTTTTCTGGGATTTTGTAATACTGTTTCTTCCATACATCTTTCTGGAGCCTCTGGAAATGGGCAGGTGCGGAGAAAATACCATCTGCTGTTGTGTCTTGCATGCAGGGGAGCTTGATACATTAACAGACTTTCTTCATTTGGTATGTTGGGTTCTTCCACAAGTTCAGGCAGATGCAACATGATGTAAAGGAATGACAGAATGGAAATCCACAATGAAAAGATACCATGAACAGAAGGTGATTTACCATGGTTGATGTCCTGGTGATGCCCTTACACTGTGTGTGGGCCGACCCTTCTGTTTTTCCACGTGGGAAACATGACTGTAATTTGTGGTAGTAGAGGGCTGCACTTTTATTCTCCCTTTGAGTTGATCTTTATGATCCTATCCAGTTCTGTATCTTCTGTAAAAGGTGATACTAGGTATTTAGAGAAAAATTCAATGCTTTGCGCACCTTGGAGCAGGTGCTTAAGGCTGGAAAGCAGCAAAAAGCAGTAAGAATGGGGAAAGCAACTCTCCAAGCAAGCACCTTTTAAAGGGAGCGCTAGGCTGCTGCAACAGGAGAGTTCAGGAGACCTTCCTTTGGGTTCCATCTTGGGTGAGGTTTTCTGTGGATCCACCCATGGCTATGTTAACACCACCTTCAGGAAGTGAAGGAGCTCTACACTCATCTAATGACAAAGGTTTTGTGAAATATATACAGAAATAATGTTTTCTTCCATGTGCAGGAACAGAGAACAGCTGTATCTGGGAACTGATTCACACCAAGTCAGAACTGGAAGGCAGGCCAGAAACAATTTTTCAGTTGTGTAGCAGGTAAGTTTTACATGAAGGTTGTATTCAATGAATCACATTAATGGAATTAAAAAAATTATATATATCTTCCCCTGCCATGACCCTTGCCTCAGCACTTCCAGTGCATCTCTCCTTGAATCCAGGCACTATGTCAGCGTTTAACTGCATAAAGTGTAGCAGTTTGAAATTAGAGGGAATTTGGCACAGTGATCCAGTGTCAGAAATCTGCACAGACCTATGCTCGTAAGTTCCAGTGTGAAATGGGAAAAGTAACTGTTTTATCAGATTCTCAGTTGCTTAGCAGAAATTACTTTCTGACAAAGGCCACTTAATGGGTGATCCCTTGGTATAAAGTTACCTTTTGGGCTGTCTGCCTAAGGGGAAGTAACTGAGATCTTGAAGTGTGTGAAATGCCTAATAAGACATAAAGATGTTAGCTGCAAAACCACCCCTAAAGCAAGTTACTGGCAAACCCCACTGCACTAAAGCATGTCAGCAGAAAGAAGGCAAGCAAACTTTATCCCAATAGTGTCTTCTTCAGAGGGGAAAATTAAGTAAGTTATCTGTTTCCTTAAACTTGCAGTGACTGTGAGAACAAGACTAACATTGTGAAGGTGATCCGTTCTATTTTGCGGGAGAATTTCAGACGCCACATAAAATGTGAGCTACCACTGGAGAAAACAAGTAAAGAGCGCCTTGTTCCACTCAAGAACCGTGTACCTGCAACAGCCAAACTGGGTAAGAAAGAAATGTGTTCTCAAAGTGAAAAATGGAGTCTGTTTTCTGGCACTGGCAGAAGGTTTGTAATTATTACCATGACTCTAGTGTGTCATTGTAGAATTTCACCACCACCCAGTGCATGGCAAAGGCTAAAGGAGATAAGCAGGCTTTCAATCCCCCCACAGCTGTGCTGTGTCATTAGCTCTCTTAAGGGAAGACTTAACAAGGCCCAAATTAATTGTGCTGGGAAGAAAGAGACTCCCTTTGGCATGCAGTATTAGTGTTCTTTCCTCTGGGTTCCCTTTTGTAACTCAGCCCTGATAACATTTAGAGCTAAAACAACTGGCAAAAGGCAGAAGTCTTGCTTCTTTCAGTGCACTAAACTGGCATCCCAGCAGATACCCTAATTAAGTACAGGCTTTAAACATTTTAGTTAAATGAGAAGCTACTAGTATTTCAAGTTTGCCATCTTATCAGTTGTCTATAAAATCCCCTTAACATCACAGGAACCAGGACAGCTCAGCCTCCACCTATAATCTGGCTCTCCAGTGCTTGCAGTTCCTGAATCCATCTTGCTTTCCTGCATAAGTGTATAAAACATTACTACAATTTTTGGAAGATTTTGTATATAGTCCACATGAAGGCGAGCATAGAGCCCTGGGGTAGGTGGAATGAAAACTCTATGGGATCACACTGTATGATATGGGCAAAGTAACTTTTTTAAAAAAACTAACAAAGTAGCAAAGAATGCTGCCACATCCGGCCTGGGATGATTATCAAATGAGACTATGTACACTGTAATTGTAAGTGGGTGATTGAGACAAACAGTATAACCAGCTGATGTTCTGCTGCAAAAATAAACCTGTCTTTTTCTTCTGCACAGCTTCCACGAGGTCCTTGAAGGTACTGAAGAATTCATCCAGTAGTGAGTGGAACGGTGATCCAGGGAAGGGCACTTTCCCGGACTCCGATGAGTGCAGCCTGAGCAGTAGTACTCAGAGCAGCAGCTGCCACACCACGGAGAGCATACAGGAGCCCAAAAATTCATCTCATGATAAGCACATACAGAGCTGTGCATCTGACTTTTCTAATGTTCTTGTCAAAGAATCTGATATTCTCAGTGATGATGATGATGACGATGCCTATCGAAACCTAAAGAAGGGCAGCCCTACAAAAGACATTGAAATACAGTTCCAACGGCTGAAAATTTCAGAGGAGCCAAGTACTGACTCTGAACGGGATCAGGCTGCTGAAAATGAAGAAGGAGATGGCTTTGAGACAGGAGACATGCGTGAGCACCCAAAGCTCGTGCGTGGCCATTTCTGCCCAGTGAAGAGAAAAGTAAACAGCACAAAGCGCAACAAGGGAACTTTAATGGCAATGCAAGAACACCACGAGTCCCTCGACAGTCACTCTGATGCTGCAAATCTAGATCTGAACTCTATTTTGGAGAGAGAATTTAGTGTCCAGAGTTTAACATCTGTAGTTAATGAGGACTGTTTTTATGAAGCTGCGGAGAGGCATGGGAAATCCTAGCTTTCTAGCACTATATTTAAAATATTCATTTGAAGTCCGCATAAAATTCAACAAACCTATTTTGCTTTAAAACTAGTAAATTTATGGAAGCTGCAGGAAAACTTCTCTCTGATTTTGTGCACTAAGACATTTTTCCACAAAAACAGCTGTAAAGGATTCTTAAGTTATTTTAATTTATTGTGGTTCAAAAATAGATTAAGTTAGCCAAGGTCTGTAAATTAGTTCATCCCTTTCAAGCAGTTATTAAGATGATGTAGTATTCCAGGGGAGGGGAAGGATGGCCTCATTAGTAGATTAAGTAAGTAATGTGGAAAAGGTGCTAGCGAGTGGCAAAAGGGTTTACAATGGGAAGCAGCATTGCAAAATGAATTTTTCAATACCTTGGGCATTTTAGTTCTTTCGTTTTAATTTTTGCTTTATTTAAAGCAGAATTAAGTTATTTTTAATGTGTTTTAGTGCACAATAGTGCAAGAATTTCATTTTTGTAAGTTTCAAGATGCTGTTTATACTTTATACATATGTGTAAATACAAAAACAAAGCTTGGCCTGTAATCTTTTATTTGACTGTATTTTTTGTTTTCTATACCAGCCTGTACAGTAAAAGACAAATAAGTATTGTACTTAGCCATGTTCTCTACTTTTTATCATGCTGCTTTTCCCTAGTTGGAGCTTTAAATCCCAAATTCTTTGCTTTTACATAAATGAGAAGAGTATTAGGAGACCTTGAGACAATCTGTGCACTTTACCCTCCTGTAAGCCCGTCACTTGAGTATATTTATACAGGAATTTCGGCTTTTGTTTTTTTCAGTTACCCTGGACAGTAGGCTGTTCCAGGATAAAAAGAGCACAAAACACCAAATACTGTCTACATGCTGAAGTATGAAAAGTATTTTTTCTTACATTTTAATAATGCACTTTTGTTCATATAGAACTCAGTTATTTCGGAAGCATCCCAACTTAATTACATGTCTTACAACATACCTTGTTCTCGGTATGTGTTCTAGCCATTCCCCTGAAGTAAAAGAACCCCGTAGGCACCTTGTAACTGGACTATCTTTTCACTTTTGTCTGCAGCTGAATGGAATGAATAAATAAAATGGGAAAGCCCTTTCTCTCCACCACTTTCTCAAAAGTAATTCTTCCAACCCTGCAGAGATGCAGGAATATATAAGCCTCCTTTTACTGAATCAACTCTAGATTAAGGAGCTAAAACTAATAAAAAAACCAGTCTGCTGCAATTACAGCTGTTACAGCTCATTTTCCTCTTCAGTCTCTTCAGTACTTTTAAGTAATTTTCTTGTCTTCTTTTCCTTTAGTTCTTCTCTATAATTGTACACAAAAAGGCTAGAGTCTTCATCACACATTTTCCTGTATGTATTGCACAGATTTCTAAATTGCGACATGGAGAGCTGAAAAGGACGCAGAGTTGGATCAACATTTGCTGTCATCATCAGCTGTTCTGTTCTTTTCAAACGTCCACTTTCAGGAAACAAGGTCCTAAAAGGTGTGGGGAGAAGACAATCAAATTCAGAGTTCAGACAGACAATTCAGTTTCCTTTAAGAGTAACAGAATCCTTTTAAGAACGTACTTAATAGTAAACCTATATTAAATATGTAATTCTTTTAGCTTTAGCACTCAATATAGATCATTATCTAAGCAAATGGAAATATGTAAGGGCCCTTTTTCTGCAAATTATGACAACATAGAAAAGCATATACATACATTGTATGTTAATGTTAACATACAGGAACAAACATGCATGTATTTAAAGGGAGCTCTGGGTACAGATAGATACAGCCACAGAGTTAGAATTCACCTCATAATCAGAGAGCAACAACAGATTAAACTGGAAAACAGATCAGATCCAAACCATATGACCTTCATGGTAAGTAAGTGTTTTATTCCAATGGGAAAAATATTATCACTTGTCATTAATACTATAATTCTAATGCCAGAAAAAAAAAAGCCAAGGAGGAGGAAAGGAATATTTAATTATCATTCACTTGGAGTATGTGCTAGGAGTCCTAGATTTTGTCACTGTTCATCAGTTAATCATCTACTCTATTGCCAGATGCATTAGCACCTCTCACAAGTTCCCTAAATTTCAATGAATAGTATTAGTTCGAGTAATTTTAATGTCTCATAAAAATGCATACTACAAAATGCAAACTACTGAAAGTACTGGCTCTTATTAGCAGTAGTTCTCAGTCTACAATGGGTCAGGAAGGCAGAAAATTTGCACATGGTTGATGTGTATGTCTCAATTTTCAAATGATCTGCCTCTATCATACATACCTAAGACCTAAAAATGCTATGCACCTAATACATTAACACCCCCACAGCCCTAGCTGTGTTTCACAGGTTGACCGGACAAGCTACTCAAAATGTTTTCTACAAGTAAGTGATAGGTGGCTCTTGGTGAGCAGACGGAATACAAAGTCAAGAAAGGGTTTAAAATTACAAGAGAAGGATGGAACTTCTAGGAATAACCTGATTTCAGGTATGGGCTACTCCAGGCCTTGGTCAAAAATGTCTCCATTACTTCAGCATCTAGGGCACCAAGGTTAAAATGGACCAATCCTTATTTTGATACCGATCCTTAACTCACTCTTTGATTTGCTAGTTAAAAGAGGTATCTGAAGCCAAAAATGTTTAATCACCTTTTATATACAGAACCATCTTATAAATGTCCACGAACAGCAACTTGAGCTATATTACATTTCTTTGCGGATTTAACAGCTTTATATACTATGTCTGTCTCAGATCCCAGAATTTACACACAAATATCAACTGATTCTATTACCTTGGTTTTGTACAGTGTATGTGATGCATAGGTAGACAAATACCTTATAATGAACTCAGACTTACTACACACCCAAAATGTGCTATTTTTTTCAAGTCAGCTGAAGAATAAGAGGACTGTATTTCTTAGCTGCACACTAGGACTAAAGCACAAGTTGCTATGGGATATGTGATGTGCAAAAGTTCAGGCTCTGGCTCCTTGCCTCAAAAAAAAAACAACCATTGAGCAGTTAGTAGCCACTTGAGATTAGTTGTGTTTTTTTTTTCTAACTTTGCCAAATACATTCTACATAAAGTAGATATGCTGACTGCACATGCCTTCTGCTTACACTGTCAACTGAAACGAGAAAAACCCCAACAAAATAAAAAACCCAAACCACCATCCTGTAAATCAAACTCATCTAGAGATTGACTACATCATTTTCTAACTACCTCAAACCTTAACACAGGTAAATTAATACTCATTTTAGATCCAGTGTCTGCCTCCATTACATCAATGGCATTTACTACTTCAAGAAAAAAAATAACAGCCCCACAAAATTTCTATAATCACCTTTAAAATAGTGATAGTTAAGGCCTGTAGTTCCATACGGTGGCATCCTACCTAACTCTGGACTACATGAGGGCCAAGACCATGCCCAGTAACACTCAGCTAGCCCACCCAGCAACAGCACACCTCTAGTCCTAACAGCAGCTCTCTCCTGCATTCTACAATGCTGAATGCTGGGTTTTTCCCATACCAAGCCAGACACGTGGCCATTGCTGGAGTTTTAACAGGATCCTTGGTGAAGAGACTGCAGGTTTCTCACATCACTTAGAGAACCTAGTAAATTCCCTCAGTAAACCTAGGGATTTTTAAAGTGTCAGTAAGAACTCCATACAAGGGCAAGCACAGAAAGAATTTAACCTTTTGACATTAACCCCAAATAAGTAAAATTTCCCACAGGTGATGCTCTCCCTGTTCATGGGTTCTGAATTTTGACACTTTCATTTTGTAACTCAACCAAAAAATGCCATAGTTTTTGTTGTTTGCTTCTTTCCAAGACATAAATTATCAGTAATTTATCCTAGTAATTTTAACAACTTGAATTACACTAACAATAATTACTACATAATTACAGCAGAGATTCATCTCATACTTTGCCTCCAGAAATTATTCAAAAATGGAAAATCTGATAAACTATGATGACAAATTTAAAATGGGAGGAATAAAATCAAATGTATAGCTACAAGTGCCGATGCATTTTCAAAACCAGTATCTGAGACGCTATCATAAGAGATCTTACTCAAGTCCACGGAAGCAGTATTTTCTTCTAAACTGAAAAACACTTTGAACCACTTTTTCTACGAGTTCAAATGGCTGCTCTATCTTTGGTTGCACCAGTGGAGTGAAATGCACCACAGCCACATCCACCTATATGGAAAAGAAAGAGAAATTTGAGTATGTATTCCTCTGAGACACATTATTTCTATGTTAACCAGCTAGACTTCAGGAAACAGGCAGAACATAGGAAGACATTATTGTGACAGTTAACGTAACTGCAGTGACAAATGTCATGGTATTTGAATATAAAAATTCAGCTCAAATTTCACGGCCCTACAGAATTTTAGTCGTACTTATCTACATATTTCCAATTAGTTCATATGCCATTAATACTCAGTACCTTTTTCCCCATGGCACTTCCTCAATCTAGAACAACTTCCATGTAATCTGTAAAGTAATTAGCACTCTGTTCTTCAAATCCTTCCACAAGATAATTCTGACATGATACACAAATTAGGCAATATTTGATATACAGGCTGAAGGGCAGCTGGAGAAAATTGGTATTATAATTAGAAATCAAACCCATTCCCTATATGTTTTCTGTTGCTCTAGGGCTTTTTTTCAAATGTAAGCCAAGGAATTAAGTTTTCAGCATACTAAGAGTGTAAAATTCTTGTCCATTTAAAGGAATGGTAGGTTAAAATAAGTTTGCACCCATTTTAAGTGACCATACAACTCTATTTATAGTGTGTATCACAGTTCATCCAAAATTATATTGAAATAATTCTACAAAGATCTTTTTCAACTGTTTTATTTTTTATAGTTCTAAAATCAGCTCTGTTCACAAAATAGTTATTTTCCCTGTGTCTGAAAACATATATATATAAACCCCCAAAATATGTATATATGTCATGCAGTTATAGAGATACTGTATTACACAAAGATGCCCTAAATTCAGACTTCTGTATTAAAAAAATAGAGGCTGTGCTAAAAATCCACTTCTGCACAACACCAAGTTAAAGCAGTTTGCCTTCCACACTAGATATTAACAACAATATAAATGAAAAATTCCTGTGAAGAAGGACACTGACAATTTATATGATTTCTACAAGTACTGGTGCTGTATGACTACAAAATTTTTAAGTTCCAGACTTTTAAAAATATTCAGTTTCTTATTAAAAATGTCTGCTCGTATGATGGACAAAAAATAATCCATCTTTTTAAAAGGTCTGAAAGCCAATATTGTCATTTATGGAACAGTCTATGTCACATTAAACTGAAGACGTGCTTGTTCTGGGTGAAATAAGACATATACTCATATACACCTTTTGTTCTAAGCACACTCTCAGTGTACCAATTGTTTGAGAAAACCCATAGCAAAAGAATACTTCAAAAAAAGTAAGGTGTTTTTTTCTACTGCTTTAACCAAAACTGCTCTAAGTTTGTGGAGGGTTTTAAAATCAATTAAATAGTAGTAACCTCTGATGTGGACATATTCTTCTGGCACAAAAGTGCCATCCATCCATGTTGTACTTTCAGTGGAAACAGCTCAGCTGTCAAGTACATCCATCCGCTACAACTATTTCAACAGCAGAGGTATTGTATTTGCTTTCAACAGAAATGATTAAATTCAAACAAGTTTCTTCACATAGACAGAACTTATGAAGCTAAATGAAAATACTGGCTAGGAAAAGGAAATAACCACTGATTAACGGTGCTGATGAAAAAAACTACAGCGAGTTTCCAGTATCAGCAGTGCTAACCTAAGTAGATGTTGCAGATAATGTTTTTTTGTTTTTCCACCCTTTCTGAAAGCTAGAGCTAAGAATAAGATAGGAAAAAAAAAACATAAATTATTAAAATGTAATGACACAAGAACTTATTTAAAAACTATGTAACAAAGAAAATTTGACATATGGAATCTGCAGTGAAAGACACATAAACTTGTTTTCCAAAGCAGTTTCTGAATTTCTGAAGTGCCAATAGTTTCTACCTTTGCCACAGGTTGCGGATACCTGTCAGGGAGACCACAAGAAGACAGCAAAACCTTATGCTGACACTGAGGCGGAACAGGGCAAATACGTATTTCACATAACCAACCAGCTGTTTTCACAGACATACTGAAGGCTTTCATACACATACGTATATGTTTACCTATGCTTCAGTCAAGAAATGAAACAAAGTATTTTCTCCACAAAATCAGGGATAAGAAAACAACCAGAAAGATCTTTTGAGACCTCAGTTTTGCAGAACTGCTCACAGGTGATATATGAGGTTTCTCCGAGAGCTGGAGCTGCACCTTTAACAAAAATTTCTGAAGAACTAAAAAAAAGAACACCATCTACATGCAGTGTACAGTTTAACAGAAAAAACAGCTCAATTTGTAATCTCAAGGCCAGTGGGCAATAATTTCTGCTTCTGAAACAAAACACAGCACTTTTCAGCATTTGTTCCATTATAAACGCTGTTTTCTTTGGACCCCAGGAAAGCTGCCTGGTTACTATAGTAACAGATACAGGGGGAAAGCTTTTTGCTTGTAATTGGCCACTCCTTTAAAATTATACACGCTATTTTTCTCTAAGCTTTTTAATATGCATAGAGTAGAATTATGAAAGCCAACAGAGTACACAACAGCATATATTAATTTGCTGATAATTTTACCAGTAAAACTTTTCTTTTTCACCCTACCAAGTATGTCAGACATATTTACAAAACAATACTCAATTCTCACAACATAATGAATATGAATATTACTCAACTGATATACCCTGAACTGTCAGTAGTATGGCAATTATTCTCCCCTTGCTGGCTTAAGGTAGCTGAACATTGAAAGTTTACGTTCTAGTAGGGTAGGAAGAACACAATTTAATTCAGAGAAGTCTGCTGCCTTACTGGTGAAACCAACACTATAAATCAGAATAAGCTTAAACGAGGCAATTTTTACTTAATAATTCTTGACAAATAAGGGTCTCATGATGGGCAATACATGTATCTTGCAACAGGGCTGTATTAAAAGAAACCCAAAGATCCTTTTTCAAGCTACAATTTCCTCACAGGGAACTGAAACCTAAGCAGCATATTACAACTTCATTAAAACAGACTGCTTGAGATCTTATTAAGACACTTCTATGCAAGCACTCTCACAAGCTAAATGCTCAGTACCAGAATTTTATCTACTACAGATAAATGTTACATCTAACACCACATATGTGTACCTCTTAGCAACCTTGTTCTGATCCAAAGGCTTCATTTTGGTTCACTTTTCAGCAGAAAATAACTGTGCCACTACACTAACAGCAATAATCTAATTCCTCTGTAAGAACAGCTTTGTAATTAGTCCATTCATACTAGGATCACAAACAGGATCACAGGAAGCTAAAAGTCAGGTGCAGAACCCATGTGTATATATCACTGCTGCAGTCGGCAAGATTTTTCTCCTAACTTGATTTAACACAGCAAATTGTCAAGGACGCTTCTTTGATGTGCTGCAGTTACCACACAAGCCTTTCTAGCAGCTTTATCCTTTCATCCTTTTATACAGATGCATACAAAGGTAGTAAGTTATAGAATGACCTACAGAAGGCTAAGGCTACCAAGGATAAGCAAAAAGTGTACTTAATAGAAATGCCCTGCTGTTCCAATTACAAGTTAAAATAAATTGCATAGTTCTTTCCCAGGAAATTTAAACTCTTAATAAGATTATCTGAGATGAAAAAAAAAAAAACAACCCCCAAAAAAAATCCAACAACCGACAAACAACAAAACCCTCCAGGTCTCAGTTCAACTTAAATGAAACCTACCCTCCCCCACCTCAGCGTCTAACCCACCTCTCACCCCCTCACCCCCCAATCCCTAAGTCTACAGTTTCTGGATTCCCAAGATTTTATTCCTTTTAATCACTGCTCACAGTTTTCATCATAGAGCCCAGAGCTTTCATCACAGAACCTGGATATCATTATGTATTTAGGACTAAGGACCTCTATGTGTTTTCCTCCGTAATCTCTTTGCTTTCCCTTACTGAGCATTTTGTCAAACAAAACTCATTAAACAAAGTACTCCTTTATTCTCGGGTGGATGGAACTAAGAGAGCGAACAAACAGCAGTAATGCACTTGCTGTAGAGAAGAGAAAAAAACAACATTCCAAGAAATTTTGCTAATGCAGTTTTATATGAGAAAGGACAATTCCATTCAAGAAAAACTGCATTTTTCTAGGACGTCTACAGTGAAGAAAACATCTCAGACCTCACATCCAGCAGTAAGTGCTACAAAACCAGGAATGAAACATAACTCTATTTTTTATTACACTTGCAGTGCATATACTTAGATTTATTTGCCTTTACTTTGGTTCATCCCATTAAATGTAATGTATGACTACCACTTGCAGTAATTTGCGTTTATGCTCGTGTGTTTTTATACGCTGAAATTTTAAAAAGGAAGCAATGAAAAAAGCTAACTCAAGACCCTAATTAGCTGGTCCAGAATATGCTTTTGAATGAGTTCTGAGCTACCAAGACATGTCAGTTCCTTCTGTAAAAGGAAGTTAAGTCATCTTTCTCATAGGCCTGATACAGCAAATGACATACTCTTCAGTCTGAACAAAATTAAGGGATTTGGAAATAGGCATGTCTTTGAAGTATGATTTTAAGAATAAGTAGCTGTGAATAGTCAAATACTTAACTATAATAATTTTTAAATAGATGTATGCTGGAGAGAGTGAGCATACCCTTGAACAATTACCTGCACTAAGTACAATATATAAATTAGAGAATTACATGTTATGTAATGCCACCAAATACTGATATATATTGATCAAAACCTTGTCGTCTTACAGATAATGAAATGAGTACAATGCGACAAATACTGTGTTCCACTTATTTCAATCTTAACCCTTATTATCACAGCTTTTCAAAAAAGTTCTAATGCTAAACAGCAATTTTAATATTATTGTTCATATTTCGAGATAATGTCTCAGGAAGCATAATCCAGAAAAGAGGACTGCCCTTTCTGTTATCACTCTGATAAAAGACAAAACTTGCCAATTACACAGACCCACTTGAAAGGCAGGCCACCATTTCTAATCCTCCTTACAAGGGTCTAAAACCATTGTTCTTCATCTGCTGTCCCAACAGTCCAGTTCTGTAACAGCAAT